ATGAGTTGAACCAGATTAAATTGAAATTAAATTGTATAGTCTTTAACAACTAGTCCATATTTTTAGTTTGAATTTGATTTGTTTAGTTATATCACCACAAACTGTAATTGATTTTGCTAGCATAAGAACAGGCTTATATGTTCCAAGTTCCTTTTTGAATAAGAAGCTTATTTAAACCCTTATTTAAATTTATTATCTGATTTATAATTACTTTCAGACATAGTGATAATTTGTTTCACGTCTGTCCAGGGGGGGTCGGACTATTTAACTTTTACCAGATCAAGTAAACCCTCATAGGAAGTACATTGTGGAGAGGTTGGCAGTTAGGAGATAAAACATGCAGAAATTAATGAGAACATTGTTTTGCATATTGAGACAAATTTCCAATTGTTAGAAAACATGCTTAAGGAGAAGGATATCAATATAAATTAGCCAAAATGTGTGGGCAGGCCTTCAAATTAAAAAGACGCATGATTATTTTGTTGAGTTTTATGTTTTGTAGCTTTTAATGTGTAATTATCCTAATATTGTTAAAAATCAATGTCATAAATTTCAAGCATTTTAAACTGTGAAATTTTATGAGATCGTGATATTAATATGGCTTTTTAACAAATATTATTAAAAAATAAATTTAATTTAATAGTGGCTATGTAAATCCATAATGACTAAGGTTATCTAATACATAATTTAATTATAACTAAATGCATTCTCTTAAAAATTATCCCTCTATATTAAAGCAAGTTTTTGCCTTCGTTAACATGCTGAGCCCGGCGCCGGTCCTTGGGAACTGGCATTGGAAATTTTCGTTTGGCTGGCATCGGTCCGCGAGACCAACAGTATTAAATTTAAAAAATAAGTATAGTCTCAATGAAATGTGATCAAATGTAGCTTTAATGAAATTTATTGAAACATTCTAAACAAAAAATAAGGCTTAGCTTTACGTATATTACAATACGAAACAACTATTTTGGCTATCTTGTATTCAAATAGTTTTGAACACAAGATAACATTTTTGGCTATCTTGCATTCAAATAGTTTTGAATTGTCATAACATTTCGAACAATACTTTCAGACTTTATGTGCGTATCCTTCCTTTTTCTATAATTTATGAATAATTTAAGTGGGCAATATTGCACCGCTTGATCGCAATATTGTCGCCGACTGATCATTGCCGGCTGAACGGAAAGGACAGCAAATTCGATGCTGTTCTCAACGTGTTAAACCTTTACTATGGTCACAAGGTAAAACACAAAAATATAAAAATTCAAGTGAAACTTATTCTTTGCATCTAGTTAGACTTAATGCAAAACAACGTATCACCGCTAATGCTTTAGTGGCTTAATAGAACCTTAAAGTATATTAACTGAGTTACAACCCAAGAAACTCTACATGAAGCTACGACACTAACAGCATCAGACAGATGACAGCTAACTTTCAAAACTTGTTAACTGTGCCTACATCAGACCTTTCAGGTTTGTTCTGATCAGCAGGTCTCTCTATAGGCAAGCAGGAGCGGTGACAACAGCCAGTCTTTTGTTATGAATCATGCTGATTATGATTTTAATGCTTATTTTAACCTATGCTGCTTGACATAAAATCTTCTTACTATTTACTAAACCTCTAGACTGAGCAAGTATGTGACAAAATGAGACATTAAAAAAAAGGCTAACTGTTAGTAAAACGTAACTAAAATGTCCCTTATCTTCTTTCAAATGTGTCCAGTTATTATGAGTGTAAAATATTTAATGCTACTTACTAAATTTCATAAAATTAATTTTATTCTCAAACATATTTATAATTATGTTAATTAAGTTATGCATTAATAATAATGCATCCTACTCAAGTTCAGGCATAGATATAATATTTTTAATTGAATTTATTCAGCGCCCATTTGCTCATAGGTCCTTAATTTTTTCCATTAATGGTACTTGAAAGTACTTAATTTCCTTGTGCAGAAAGTGTACGAACCCTGATGATTGATAAGATTAGTTTGAATACTTTACTACGCGCATTTAGAACACTACAAATATTATAAAATTACAAAAGGAGATTTAGAGAAAGCTAGGATCATTTTCGTATTTGATTAGGTTATTGGAATTATAACAAAGCATATTATAGCTATTTTCCAAATGGAAGGGAAGATTCCACGGAGACCTTCCTAAGGGATACTCGCCCGTACTCACCCATAGAGAAAATCTCAGTAACTCCCATTCAGCCAGTTCACTAGAATTTGAATCCTACTGAACTGGTCGCTACACATTACTAGTAGTAGAGCTACGTATTACCAGTATTCTGCGGTCGGCGGTCTTACCCTTCGCCCTTAGACAGGTCTTAGAATTTGGATTTCTTTCTTACCCCGTATGAGTCCTTATCTGTAAATTGACGTTCCACTGCTTACAACAACTATAGTACGAACATGTTGCCGATTATGTAAACAGCCTACAAAATTTATTCTGTATTTAAATCGAATAATGTCCTCATAGAACCCCAAACTACCGAAAATTTATGAGGCTTTATTACAACAAGTGCGAAAGGAAGAAGACTAATACCTACTTCTAATACCTACTAATGCCTTCAATAACTTTAAGAAAATTTACTTTCGACTGTTAAAGTCAGTTTCTAAAAACAGAGTACAAACATGCATGAAGAGAACTAAAGTAAATTTTCTTAAACTTATGCAATCTATTAGTTTGTATAGAAAGTGACCTCAAAATTCAACTATGCTTTCATCCGGATTCAATCCACGGATCTTCCAATGGCCAGGTACGTGATACCAGTTACATCATGAAAGCTCAAACTGCAAAAAATATATGCCAATAATTTAACTCAGTGACTGAAATATGCACTTCTAAATAGAATTAATTGGTGTATGCTTTAATCCCGCTTAGATCGATATTGAGATTAATATCGTTGGGACCGGATTTTAATCACAAAAAAGTCATGAATATGTATAAATATGCAGTATGTGCGGCATAAGGCACTTAAAATACTGGAGAGCCGATAGTCCCCGTGGGTGGTTTGATGTTACAGGAAGAAGAATGGCAGATCCTCGAATTCGTCTTCCACTGAAAGTTCTCCAACAAAATTGGGGCAGATATATTCAATTAGGGGGTTGGGATATGCCTGTACGGATAATGGTGAACTTCTGGCGGCCCGCCCACTCCTACCTGTACTTGTAGAATTACACTCATGTCCATAAATTAAGGAAAATTCGGAGTCACGCGGAAATCGAACTCTAAAATAAATATATCACCTGTAAAATCACTACACACATCTTCAAGAATCATATGCAAATTTCAGGAAGTAACCAGGATGACATCGATGATAAGTCACAATGACGAGAATGTAAGAGAGTGATATATAAGGAATACAGGCAAAGAAGTAAAATTGTTCGCTGGCGCTTTATATGCATTTCAGTGCAATAACCGAATAGTTACGACACAAAGGACGCATTTGGTGATTTTTTACGTGGTAGAATTATCCGCCGTCTGGAATGTGGGCGTACCCAACTGGAAGTATCAGACGAACTTGGAATTGCCCAGAGTGTCATCTCCAGGCTTTAGCAACGATTCCAAGATGATATTAATGTGAGTAGACAATACAGCACAGGTCGCCCCAGAGTTACAACGCCGAATGAGGACCGGTATTTGGCAGGTACTGCCAAAAGAAACAGGCGGAGCACAGCTTCAGACCTGTCTCGTCGGCTCTCTTCAGCCACTGGTACAATTTCAAGGCAGACCGTGTACAGACGCTTAAAGCAGATTGGTCTATATGCTCGTAGACCTGTCAGATGCGTTCCACTTACTGCAACTCACTGTCACCTGCGGTTAGCCTGGAGTAGAGAGCATGCACTGTGGACATCGCAACAGTGGGCTTGTGTAATGTTTTCCGACGAGTCCAGGTTTAGCTTGCAGTCTGATTCTCGCCGGACATTCATATAGAGAGCTCCAGGTACCCGTTACCAACAAGAAAACATCATTGAACGACACCGTTACGGAGGTGCAAGAGTGCTCGTTTGTGGTGGAATTATTCTGGGTTCTAGAACTGACCTGCATGTTCAAATTGGAACCATGACAAGCCAAATCTGGAACAATATGTACGTTTGTTTCGGGGCGCCATGGGCGCACAATTTGTGTTTATGGATGACAACGCCCGTCCTCACCGTGCAAACATCGTAAGTGAATGCCTTCAATCGGAAGATATCACCCGTATGGACTGGCCAGCATTCTCACTGGACTTGAATCCAGTACAGCATGTGTGGGACATGTTTGGCCGACGAGTTGCAGCCCGTCAACCTCCTCCTATATGCCTACCGGAACTTCGGAGAGAATTGCTTTTTGAGTGGTGTAATATCCCCCAAGATCAGATGGATAATTTGATCAGATGGATAATAAATTGATAACCCAGCATGCCTGGGTGTTGTACGGACTGTATTGCATCGTCTGGGAGACATACAATGTATTAACAAGCATACCAACCATGTAATATTGGTTTTTTGTAAATAGGTTTTTTTTTTTTTTTTTTTTTTTTTTTTTTTTTTTTTGTAATTTGCTCCAGGAGAAAAAATCGCTAATTTTTTTAATAATATCAAACATATAGCATCGTTTTTTGCTCTTTACCTTTTGTTTAATAAATAAGCTTTACAAATAAGTCAAATTTGTTTTGCTTCTAACTCTTCCTTTGCCTGATTTTGCATTATCCTTTATTTATGGACATGAGTGTAAATTATATGTAAAGTATAGTTCTACATTTTAAAAAATCTAAAATTCGTCTCATGCTTATCAGGCACTCCCTCCATTTTCCAGGTTTTTGATAAAGACTTTTTTTTCTAATTTTGCTTAATTTGGTATTATTTCCGATAGTTAATGTCTTGTAATGTTGAATCACCAACAACAGCACAGTTTCTGAAATTATTTAGCAATTAATTTAAGTACTGGTAAATTTATTACTCGAAACATCAAGAAATGACTTTATCATTTTTGATTTATTTTCTGTTCCAGATGCATGTGTATATTCTGTAATGATGGACAATGCTGCTGGAAAGATTAAATGTTCTTGTCCACCCCCATGCAGGTCAGGTTCCCTTTTTATTCTTCATTTTTTATTATTATATTTATTACATTATCAGTGCTAACAGAAAATAAAAAATAAAATAAAATAATAAGGTGATTGAAAAATAATTCCCTTTATAAATTTCATCTACAATTTTACACGACAAATAATAAAACTGTGGGCACCTAAGTAACAAAATCTATTAAAATTGAATTACATTGTCAAAAATATGAAAAGAAATATAAATGCGAAAAATGAACTAAAAGTAATTCATTAAACTAAGCTAAAATATTTACTTTCAAAGTTTTTATTCCTCAGTAGGATTTCACATCATTCCATAACCTTGTTTATCTGAATTATATTGAGTGGAATAATTACCAATAGAATTATTTTTTATGATTCTAAAACGAAGTATAAATCTCAGTTTTTGTTTCAGTTACTCAGAATGTGTATTAATATGAACTAACTTTGGACAAGAAGCACTTTGTAAAATATAGAAACTGCTATTAGTAAGTAATATTCAACATGGTGAGTTAACAGATTTCCCGGCTGTGATGGTATATACAGGGGTTGGACAAAAATATGGAAACACCTTTAAAAAAACATGTTTCTTTGCTTAATATGGTGTAGGAAACCCGTTGGCATCCAAAACAGCTTGCAGTCTTCTCGGAATGGATAAATACAGTTCCTGAATGTTTGCCAAGGGAATATTATACCATTCTTCCTGCAAAACGGTGGCAAGTTCAGGTAACGATGTTGGCGGTGGATAACGAGAACGCACTTTCCGTTCCAATGTAGACCACAAAGGTTCGATAATATTCAGATCTGGTGACTGTGGTGGCCAGGGGAGATGGGACAACTCATCCTCGTGCTCAAAAAACCAGTCCTGGACAATGTGAGCTGTGTGAACAGGGGCTTTGTCGTCTTGGAAGACACCATCACCATCGGGGAACAAAGTTTGTACCATGGGATGAACTTGATCGGCCAAAATGTTCACATAAGTCTTGGCAGTCATGTGCCCTGACACAGTTATCATGGGGCTAGCAGAGAACCACGATATGGCTGCCCAAACCATAACAGAACCCCCGCCATGTTTCACTCTTGGCAACAAGCAGTCTGTATTATAGGCTTGAGATGGCGTTCTCCAGACGTAAAACTCGGCCAGAAGTGGGAGGAAACAATGTGAAAGAAGACTCGTCAGACCATATTACTCGCTTCCACTGCTCTATAGTCCAGGCTTTATGACTTAAACACCACCTTCTTTCCTGTTACGGGCATTAGCATCACTGATGAGTGGCTTCTCAATTGCAGCACGGCCAGCAATTCCCTGTTTATGAAGCTCCCTTCTAATTGTTTTGGTACTCACCGGGTTCGGTAAAACAATATTCATTTCAGCAGTAACTTTTGCAGCTGTGGTCTTCTTTTTTTTCGTCACAATTGCCCTTAATGATTGTCTGTCACGATCACTCAGGACACACTTTCGTCCGCGCTGTGATTTAGTAGATGATGTTTTTCCGCTTTTCAAATATGCGGAATAAATCTTCGATACAGTACCTCTTGAAACACTAAACACCTCGGCTACCTTGCTTACGGAAGCACCTACCATACGTGCTCCAACAATTTGCCCACGTTCGAAGTCTGTTAACTCTGACATAATGCAATGACAACCTAACATAACAGTACTCCGACAACAACTGAACTGTTTAGCACATTTACGAAGTTGTATAGGTGGCGTCAGTAGTCAAAAACGCTAGCGCCACCTACAAATTTCATTAAAATCAATCTTTCCTTTCAAACATGCATTTTACAGGGTGTTTCCATATTTTTGTCCATCCACTGTAATTCCGTCTAGTTTTCCTGGTGGGAAACTATTTTGGCGGCCCACTCACTTACCATTGGACGATATTGGCAGAAATGGGTGAAGAAAGCAGCAGTCGACCGAGAGCGGCAACAGAATTGCGAGGACAAAGTGATCGTCCCGTAGGCGCTCACAGCCGCTGATGCGTCCTTGTCAGAGATCCAACGTGAATATGAAACAGCAGTAACTGCAATGACCACTGACAAAACGACTCAGTGAGCGGGGATGAAGTCACAGAGACCATTCCACCATCTATCTCTCACAGCTCACTGAGAAGCACGTCTGTAGTGGTGCCATGCGCATTCTACCTAGGATCTCTCGAAAACTGAGTGGAATTGTTTTCAGCAATGAGAAACGCTTCTAACGTTCCCGAGATAACCAGCGAAGACTTATCTCAAGACGTTTAAGACAGCGGTGGGATACTTAGCATACTATCGTCCGCCACACAGCCTGACAGCCAAGAGTTATGAAATTTTATTTGATAGCCGAACTCCCTTGGTTGTCGTCCGTGACACGTTACAGCATGGCGCTACGTCGACGAGATTCTATGCTCCGTTGTGTTGCCCTTGTTTTTACGCAGCCTGGACAACAATTCAACAGGATAATACCCGGCCGCACATGGCACAAATTTGTGCTGCTTGTTTTCGTCCTCCTCTCACACTTCCCTGGCAGACGGGAATGCCATAGCTCTCCTTAATAGAGCACATTTGGGTTGTGATGAGCAGGCATCTCCGACAATCTCTGAATCACGCCGAGTTAACTCGCCATTTGGAATGTGTACATTAAGCAGTCATACCATGGGGCGACTGAAGTCTGCCAGGAGATTCAGGCTGGGCCCCACATCACACCACTGTATCTCCACTATGTTAAGTTGAACCAGCTTCTCGTTAAATTCCTGTGTGTAATCTTTGGCTACAAGCTTATTTAAATTTAACTTAACGTTTGAAATTAGTGTTATTTTGAGTTATCGCGTCATAAGAGATGGATGAGCTTCTAAGCAGCAGGTGTGCATTCTGTGCTTCTTAGTTTCAAATAGGGGTCTTTACCCTCTTCTCAAGTTGTGATTTTAGATTTAATCTAAAACGGTGCTACCAAGAGTTTGGGTACTATTAGATGACTGCAAAACTGATCAAACTTTATAAAATGATTACTTTGAAGTTTAAAGCACTTAATATTTCTGGCTGAGATTAGTAAATTCTGATCAATATTAGTTATTTAAATATTCAAAAATTCCTGACGTATTTTAAATAATTATACGGATTTGTATTTTAAAAAGTGATTGCAGAAATTAACGTTCTCTATGCATGAATAAAAATTAATCATAAAAATTGTCAAGTTAGTAACTTAAAGAGCCTATAGCGAAGGTTGAACATATGTTACTAAGTTCTGCTAACCTCTAATTACTAATTAATACATAAAAAATTAGAACAGAGTTGAAGTGACATATGCATGTAAATATTAAATACTAAGTTTTAAGGTCTTTAAATTTAATCCAAAAAACATTCCGAAGACAGAGCATAATTGGAAACATTATTTTTTTAATTTTTAAAACTTGAAATTTTAAGTTACAGTTATGCTTCTAAATCATAAAGTTAGATAATTTAGAAATTTACAAAACATTTTAAAACTTAAAGTAAATACAGATGTTTTAGAAAGTGGTCGTGCTTCAGGAGAATTTCAAAGAAGACATTCCAAGGCTACAGTGTTATATTGTGCTGTTTTGTGGTTTGTTCTGATGTTACTTGTCTGAAAGTAACATCAGAAAAAGCCCACGAAATTCATCGTGGCAAGCAGGGTAAGACTGCGCCTGTCGTTCGCAACAGTCTTGAGCACAATACACGTGATAGTACGATTTTGCTCAGTTCCGCCCCCAAATTTTGATGGAAAGGTTCCTGCGGGGACGGCTCCGAAGGTCTCTCAAGTCTTTTCTCTTACCACCAACCTCTAGAGAACTTTCGGTTCGGACTTTTTATTTAGAGTCCCCCATGCCGCACAGACACTATATCAGGACTGGTATTCCTCTTTACTTGCTTTGGAAACATTAACTGTCCTGACTCGGAACAGGGAGCTTACTCAAGCTATGTTCGATAAATTGTGAAGTAGACAATACACACAGGAAGGGTATACGAAAACCTTTATTTTTCTATCTTTACAGAGCTTTCCGGAACTTCAGAATACAGAGACCAACCACTTGTGGTCTGAACGTAAGAATATAAAAATACTAACTAAAACTCTAACTAAACTATTAATAAACAAGTGCCTAACTCCAAGATTGGCCGTTAATTAACAAAAAGCCGTATGTAGTACAGAGAGCTGCTAAAACTACGATACGTTTAAAATTATCACGAGGATTAAACCTCTGGCCTTGAAGGCAACCAGCACCCGAGTAAAACTACTATGGCAAGCGGCCTGCTTCTAATAACTCCTTGCTCTCTCTTGCTTGGCAAAAAGCCACAACTTAAGTACTTGGCAAGACAAATTTCAAAGTTAAAAGCTTTTAATTCTGGCCGGAAGTAGAAAATAAGAAATGATAGTAAAGATTTAAAATAAAATAAACGTTAGTAAAACTTGGGATCCTTACAACTATACGTTTAAAATATCTATAATATCTTTTCCGGTATTCGAGCCTGGGCCCTTCGGTAGGGCAGTCAGAATCACTAATCACTATTCCGGCTAAGCGACCCAAAAGATACTTGAAACACCTGCTAGTATTCACGCTCCACATGAGAGAAAGAGAATTTTTTTTATAAAATAAGCTTAATTTATTAAATGTATCGTGAACTGAAAGAAAGAAAATAATTCATTGTATAGTTTAATGAGAACAAAAGATTAAATAATTCTCTTCACAAAATTCATCTATAATTTTCTATCACGAATGTTGAAAAATAGAAGTACCTTTTGATAAATTTGTAAAATTAATGGGTTATATTTATTCATTGTATAGGTTAATGAGGACAAACGATTAAATTATTCTCGTCACAAAATTCTTCTATAATTTTCCATCACGAATAACGAAAGATAGAAGTACCTTTGATAGATTTATAAAATTAATGGCTTATATTTAAGACAGTGTAATTCAATTAATAGATTTCGTTATTTAGACGCGCATATATTTATTATTTGTCTTGTAAAATTGTAGATGAATTTTATGAAGGGAGTTGCT